GTGGATAGAGATACACCAGAAATACATCTACACGTGGAACAACTCCTACAGAACACCTACTGAACGCTGGCAGAAGACCTCAGACCTCCCAAAAGGCAAGAAACCCCCCCACGTACCTGGGTAGGGCAAAAGAAATGCAACGCTGTGATTGATTAGTGATGTCTGCCATGGGTACAGCAATAGAAAGTGGTACTACCTATGTAACATAGTTGCTATTCCTGGATTAAATAATATTTAAACTTTAATTTAATTCATTAATGATTGTTTGCAAAGTATCTAGTCAGAGACAAGAGAAGCTAGCAGGCCTGGCAGAGAAGCTTCTTAGCTGTCAGGAAAGGCAGAATAGCATAGTGGTTAAAATTCTGAATTTGGATACTATGAACACTAGTTAATATCTGTATCAGAGAAAGCACAAGTTATATAACTTCTTTGTACTTCAAATTCCTTACCTATTTTTTATTTATGTGGAAATGGGGTTTATTGTGAATATTAAATTATCTGATACCCAAAACTTGCTTTGCAGTGTGAGTAGCATATGGCAAGTGATCAATAAGCTAGCTGTCATCAATAGTCAAATAAGAAGGGTATGGTGTCTAGGACATGCTAGGAAGGGACCCAGAGTGTGGTTCTTGGTCTCTTGTACAAGTTCTCTCTGAAATTGCTTCCAAACAAAGATATGTGGTAGGGATAGACCTCTGGGAATATCTGTGCTATAGGTGAGGAAAGAAAAAGAGTCTCCCAGAAGCAGAGAAGTGCAGTCCTGGGATCCTGCCATGAACCAGAAGAGTGGGCCCCAGAGGAGATGGGGGTCAGACTCCAAGCCTGACACACCAAGGGGCACCAAGGTCTTAATTCTACAGGGAGCTCAGAGATCTCAAGTGGTAAGTCACTTTGATTATGAAATTTCCCTCTCTTGTTTTGTTTTTAAACTGAATTCGAGAAATCCCATCATAAAAGTTAAAACGAAACTTTAGGTCATGCAAGTTCAGCAGCTGTTTTTTTCCAGCAGCTTGGCTGTGCTGTTTAAGGAAGTGTTCATTCTGCCCTCTCTCTTTCTTTTCTCCTCCGTGTCTTCCCAATGAGCATCTTCGTAACGCAGTTTTGACAAGTCACCTATGGCTCAGTGGCTGTGAAGGGGCACCTGAGGTCAGAAACAACCTCTGTGAATAGAGGGTCAGAAATGGGTACCCTGCGGTGGAAATAGATCTGGATTCTTACACGGTTCTTTTTTTCTTTCTTTTTTTTTTTTTTTTTGCGGTACGCGGGCCTCTCACTGTTGTGGCCTCTCCCGTTCCGGAGCACAGGCTCCGGACACGCAGGCTCAGCGACCATGGCTCACGGGCCCAGCTGCTCCGCGGCATGTGGGATCTTCCCGGACCGGGGCATGAACCCGTGTCCCCTGAATCGTCAGGCGGACTATCAACATCATTTGGTGGCTTGCGGATGAAACATTCATCTGTTCCCCGACCCCAGCCACTTCGTGGAGAATCTCTGAGAGGTATAGGAGGTGGCTCCGGTATCTGGTCTCTCTCAGGTTTGGGTCTCTTCAGACCCAGATACAGAGGGAGTTTGTGGATAAAGATCTGCAGAGTAGAAGAAGAGGCATATTGGAGGGGGCTCTTATGCTCTCAGACCAGAAGGGAAGCCGCCAACCACCCCCACGGCACGTGCCCATTCCTGCGCATGCGTCCATGCGTCCCACAGATGAAATGCAACTACACAGCCCAAGAGTTCTTAAGTGGGTTAGGAGGCATCCTGACTGGAAAGAAAAGTTCTGAGGGCTTCAACCCTGATAGTACCTCACCCTTAGAATGCTTCCTTGGGACCCACGATGGGCAGTATTGATGAAGAGAGTCTGGGATCTACGCAACGTCAATGATGGGAGGATAAAATTAATTGGGCAACATTTCAACACTCAAAGACCTTGGCACTTTGACACTCTACCAGGAGTTGTAGTTCTCCCTCAGGTCTGTGAAAGGGAAGGTTGAAGTTGGTGGGAGGGAGGAGCGATACCTGGACAAAAAGCCAAATACTAGGATTGAGAGTTAACACAGGTTGGAGAGGAGATCTTCTTACCTGACGGACCCAAAGGGGCATTTGGTGGGTGTGGGGTGAGCGATGGTGTAGGTTGAGGTCTACGACGCTAAGGATGACTGAGAAGGTGACGAGGACCATGGTAAACATGAGGTATTTGATAATGACGGGGACAGACAGGGAGGTCTCAGGCACTTTGTCTGCCAGCAGCAGCAGGAACACAGTAAGGGTCAGCAGGGCAAAGATGGAGAGCCCCATCTTCTCTCCTTGGGGGACAGAGGGGAAGGCAAAAGGATTAGGCTTTGCCAGAAAGCAATCTCCCTGGCATAATCAGTGACCGTGTTTCCAGCCCACTCAAGGACAGGCTTTTGGAAGGGCCAACTGCATGCAAATAACTCCTACATTTATACCTCCAACCTGGACTGATTCCCCTAAATTCCACACTTGTATCCACCTGCCTACTTAACCTCTCCATTTGGGTGTCCACTAGACATCTCGAACTTCACATGTCCAAAACTTAATTCCCTCACCACCGACTCCCGCCATAGTCTTCCTCAGTTCACAAATGACAACTCGATCTTTCCTGTGGCTCAGGCCAACTCCCTTTGAGTCATTCTCAGCTCTCCTCTCTCTCATCCCATATCCAATCCATACCAAACCCTGTTGGCTCTACCTTCAAAATATATCCTGAAACTGATGACTTATCACATCTACCACTACCATCCTGGCACAAGCCACCATTACCTCAGATCTGAGTTATTATAAAGGCCTCCTCTTTGCTTCATCCTTTGCCCCGCTGCTGACTGTTCTCAACAGAGCAGCCAGATTGACCCCGTTAAAATGTAAACCAGATCATACCACTCCAGTGGCTTCCCATCGCCTTTAGCATAAAAGTCCATACTGAAGTCTACAAGGCCTTCCCATTAGTTCTCTGACTACATCTCATACTGTTTTCTCTCTTGCTTACTTCATTCAGTTATTACTTCATTGGCTATTTCTTGAATATGCAAGGCACACGCCCACCTCAGAGCTTTTTGCACTCACTGTTAACTCCTCCTGCTAATTTCTTCCCCCAGATATCTACCAGGGTCATTCTCTCACTTCCTTCAAGTCTTTGTTCAACTATTGATCAAACATTCCCTTTTTAGTGAGGCATTCACTGACCATCCTATTTTTAAATTGCAACCCCTGTGATAAACCATAGCGGAAAAGAATATGAAAAAATATATATATCTATAAATGAGTCACTTTGCTGTACAGCAGAAATGAAACACAACATTGTAAATCAACTATATTTCAATAAAATTGTTTAAATAAATAAATAAATTGCAACCCCTACCCCCATTCTCATCCTCCCCAAATCCTTTTCCCATTTTTCCTTCTTAGGAATTGACCTCTCCTAATATACTATCTAGGAATTCCCTGGTGGCACAGTGGTTAGGAATCCACCTGCCAATGCAGGGGACGCGGGTTTGAGCCCTGGTCAGGGAAGATCCCACATACCACGGAGCAACTAAGCCCGTGCGCCACAACTACTGAGTCTGTGCTCTAGAGCCCGCCAGCCACAACTACTGAGCCCACGTGCCACAACTACTGAAGCCCACGCGCCTAGATTCTGTGTTCCACAACAAGAGGAGCCACCACAGTGAGAAGCTCGTGCACTGCAACAAAAAATAGCCCCTGTTCACCACAACTAGAGAAAGCCCCCGCGCAGCAACGAAGACCCAACGCAGCCTTAATTAATTAATTAATTTTAAAAATAATAATATACTATCCAATGGGTTTATTTATTATGTTTGCTGACTGTCTCCCCACTAGAATATAAACTCCATGAGAGCAGGGATTTTTGCCTGCTTTATTCACTGATGTATTCCCAGTGCCTTGCACATTACACATGTTCAACAAATATTGTTAAATGAGGGAGTGGACCAACCCCTGTAGCAGGAACTATATAGCAAATCGAAGGATCTAAAAATGAAACCAAGTATATGAGACTATGCCAGGTGACTGGTTATTACTGTGGCATACAACAGGCGCTGCAAACTTCATGGAAGCTATTGAAATAAGTAACTATTATGGTCTGTTCTACTTTAGTCCTGTAATATTGGGTTCCAAGATTTGCCTTGCTCCAGGAAGAAGGAGAAGTTACATGTGGAAGTGTGTTCTAGAGATGCATCACTCTCCTTCCCCAGACTGAGAGAGGGCTTGATTACAGAGAGAAGGAAAGCGTGTGTTTTTTGTTTGTTTTGTTTTGTTTTGTGTTTCAGGCCACAGCAGTGAAAGCCCAGAATCCTAACCACTAGGCTACCACGGAACTCCCAGGAAAGCATGTTCTGAATATAAGAGTTTAGGATATCAGTCTCTGAATCAGACTAGTACTAAGCAGGGTTGGAATAGCAACACTGCCTCTCTCTGTGTAATGTCAGGTGAATGACTTAAACTCACTTAGCCTCTGTGAAACGGGCAGACAATTCAGTACTTACCTCACAGAGTTGTGACGATTAGAACTGAGTTAACATATGTAACACATTATTTGTATTATCTTATAGCAAGTGCTCCAAATTAGAAAAGACTATACCTACACTTACACAAAGCTTACAGAGTACCAGGCATAGTTCTATTAACTCAGTTAATCCTCAATATAGTCCTATGTGGGAGGGACAACGACTGTCCTATTTCCAGATCAGGACACTAAGAGATTAAGGAATTTGCCCAAGGTTACTCTGTTAGCTTATTGTGCTGTCTCCCAGAGAAATGTTGGCTATTATTTCCAAGGGACATAGGAGGTTAAGGGACTAGTAGGCGGCATTTGACAAGTGGGGGAGAGAGGATGCCAGGAATGGGGAAAGGGAAAGGAAGCATTAGCTGAGCCTGGGAGTTTGTTGGTCAGAGGAGTGGCAGTTCCAAGGGTGAGATCCTAGGATTCTGAAGGGAAGAGTTCAGAAGTTACTGGGTGCAGAGAAGTGAGCAGCAGAGGGGAGGTAGAGCTTGAGGTTGGAGGGGAAATCTGGATGCAGAGGCAAAGGCTCTTCCTGAAAGGAAAACCTGGGTGAGATTGCTGAGGCACAGTTCATGAAGGCTTGAGTTGGCAGGAAAACCTTCCCTGTTTTATGGGTGAAGAGCAAGAACCTGAGCTATTGGCAAGAAGGAGTGCTGAGCCCCTTCCCCTCTTACCTGCATCTGGTGGCAGGTAGAAGACGAAGATGGCCAGAAGAGTGATGAGGATGCATGGGGCAATGACGTTGACCAGGTAAAAGAGAGGCTTCCGGCGAATGATGAGGTAGAAGGTGACTTCTTCACGCCGTCTTTCCCCGCCTCCCCTAGGATCCACTGGAGGCTGGATTAGCCGAGAAGGCTTGTGAATAATCTCCCATTGACCATTCTCTTGGGGGGAGTGGGGGGAGAAGAGAAGGTGACACAGATGTGGAACCTGTCTTTGTTTGTGCCAGATACGGCTTTCTTTTCTTTTTTTGTTTTTGTTTGTGTGTGTGTGTGTGCCTCACTGCGCCACCGCGCTGCTTGTGGGATCTTAGTTCCCCAACGAAGGATTGAATCCGGGCCCTCAGCAGTGAAAGTGTGGAGTCCTAACCACTGGACCGCCAGGGAATTCCCAGATATGGCTTTCTCTGCCACATCCTAGAGCAGGGGGGACTGATGTAATATGGGGCCAGCTATGGTCCCTGGGCTGGACAGCCTATCTCTAATAAATTTGAGCAAGTCTCAACTTCCATAACCACAAAATATAGACAGTTACACCTATCTTGCTGAACCCACAGGGACTCACTGAGGGAATATATTTATCAGCCTGTTAGAAACTGGAAATCATAAAGCCCATGGACATGGGAGCCAAGCCCACTCACCAATAAAGGTGCCTTCATGAATGTGCACTTCCTGCCGCTCCTGCCCATCGGGACCCAAGCCGGTCTGCAGACTGACTTCTGAGCTGTCATGGCTATAGGAACTGAACACCATGGTGCAGTTCTGCCAGTCAAAGGGGAAGTAGGTGACCTGGATGGAGTGGAGAGTTACTAGAGCTGCCAGAGAGCTGGTCAGGGCTGGGGGAGCTGGGGAGGTCACAGGGCAGACAGGGGTCAGAGGATATGGGGCACTAGGGAGATAGGGACCACCAGGGGGAGATCACAGAGAAGTGGAGTCACAGAGGAATAAGAAGGTTATGCGGGGAGGTCATGGACAATGGAGGGGGGCGGTCACTGAAGAAGACTGGAAGTCAATGAAAGTGGACAGAGAAGATGAAACTCAACGGAAAATCAGAAGGGTAAGAGAGACGTGAGGGTCATGGGGATAATGGAGGAGGGATATCTGAGTGAGGGTTTCTAGGAGCGCCTTGAGCTTCCCAGGTGGGGCCCGGACACCTGGATGCTGCAGCTGCTGCGATAGATGCCCGGGGGCTGCCAGCGCACGGAGCCGTCGGAGGACACCATGACTCTGATGTCCAGAGCAACATCAAAATTTCCGTCGTTGCTGCGGGGAAAGAAAGTTCTCATCTGGGATCAGGCCCCTCCCTCCGGAGGCCGCGCCCCTCCAGAGGCCCTGCCCCACCTCCCAGACTCTAGGAACATCCTTACTTGTTTAGGAGCACCACGTCTGGTAGCCACACGGATTCGGCAGTGATGCAGAGTGAATCGATGCCCTCTTGCTCCTCAGGGTCCCAGCTCAGCCTGTAGTCAGTCCACTCCTAGGGAAGCAGAGGCTGAGGGGCCGTCTGGGGCTGGAGGCTGGAAGGAGTCTTGGGATGTGCTGAGGAAGACCGGGCAGGGAATGCAAAGGAGGAGAGCCGCGCAGGCATGGTCTGTGGTTCTGGAGGCCGGGGCTCTGTTTAAGACTCCACCTGCACTCTTTGGGACCCTATCAACTAATTTCCCCTTCTCTCTCACCGGGCCCCAATTTCTTCTTTCTGTAAAAACGAGGGGGTTGCACGCTAGCCTCTAAAACAGTGGCTTTCAAACTGCAGTTAACGACCCATTTCATAGGTCCGGAATCAAATGAGTGGCCCCAAACCAGTGTTAAAAAAAATTTAGAATGAAAAATGCATGGAATGCATCTCCCATAGCAAAGATAGGTATTGTTTCCTGAAGCTTATGTTTCAGTTATAAATGTGTTTTCTGAGGTCGTGATGCAAAAAAAAAATCTTACTGGTCGGAACTTTCGAGGAAATTGTAAAGGCAGCGGGATGTCCGCCCTTTCCCACCCTGCGGGGGTCTCCGTACCAGGTCTAAGTAGACCTTTGTGCTCATCTCCTCATCCTTCTCGTCCTAGAAGGGAAAAGTTTAAAGGGTAGATATGATGTCAGTGTAGAGAAATGAGGGGCTCGGTGGGTAAACTCTCCCTGGAAACTCCCCTCTTTTTCTGAGTCGCACCCTCTTGGGTTCAAGCCCCACCTCCTATAAACTGCGTTGGCTTAAGCTCCGCCTCTATCTCGTAAACTTCCTGCTGGCCGTACAGCCAGCCAGTTCATTTACCAGTCCCGGCCCCGGCCGGAGTGAATCTCTGCCCGCTGTTTATTGACCCTGTCCGGCACCAAGGTCCGCCCCAGCCTGTGACCCCGCCTCAAGGTCCGCTCTCCGGCCTGTCCATCGGCCCCAGCTCCACTTTGAGATCCGCCAACAGGCCAGTTCATCATCCTACCCGGCTCAATCCTGGCCCGTCCAGCAGCCACGCCCACAGCTTGTCCATTGGTCCGATTTCGACCCAACCTCTACTAAAGGCCCGTCAGTCACCCAGCCTGGCCTCGCCCCGGGCCCCGCCCCCAGTGGTCCCTGGGTTCCGCCCTGCCTAAAGCCACGCCCCCCAGCCGGCTAGTGGGCCAGGCCTCAACTCCCCGCGTGCGCCCTCACCAGGCTGATTAATTGCGCTAGGCTGAGACCAATGCTAACCCCGACGCGGTCTCCGACCTCCCGCGCCGGCCTCACCGAGCTATCATAGCCCGAGAAAAGTTTCTTGCGGAGTCGGCCCTCCGCCTCTGAGACGCGGGCGCCTGGAGGAGGAGAGAACTGAGTGAAGCCCTGGTGCCCGACCACGACCTCTGGCCCTGTCACTGCCCCTTTGACGCCCAGACTTACCCGAGGCGAACGGCGCCCCCAACGCCCACAGCAGCAGCAGCAGCAGCAGCGCCCCTGGGGTCATAGCCCGCCCGCGTCGCTCAGTGAGTCCGCTTGGGTGAGCCGCCAGGACAGCCAGCGCAGGAGAAGTGACGAGGCGCCCAGGAATGTGCACCTGTTACTAGGGGGCAGCCGCCAGCCTACCCGCCCCGCCCCGGGGGCTTGATCCCTCCCCGAGCGACTGCCAAAGCCTGCTACCCACAGATGGCAGACAACACTTCAACTGTATAAATCGTCTTTAATTGAGAAAGCACGGAGGGGAGACTGGTCCCCTGGGAGCAGAGCCTTTCTGGATACCTAACACCCAGCTGAGGTAAAGCAAGTTCTATTCAGTTAGAAGCTGGAGGGGTGTATGAGGTCTAGAGACCAAGAGGCCCTCACCCTCCTTGGCCTGACCTGTAGGGGAGAAGGGTGGGACTTATTGCTGAATTGGTGTCTCCTCATTTGAGGGGGGTCAAAGCTATGTCCCATTTGTCTTTTCTGTTCTAGACCCATTACCCCAAAGACCTCAGCTTTAAAGGGGACCTGGAAGGAATTCCTGCTGAGGTAGTTAAGTGTTCATGTCCCCCCAACCCAGGCACAGGTCCAGTCATGCCATGGTTCTGGCCACTTTCCCATCCTAGCTGCCCTTCTATGAGCCAGGGATTCCTTCCAAAACTCCTCTGCCCTTCCTCAGCCTCTGTTCCCTGGCAGGGCCCCAGCTGAGTTGCAGGAGCTAGAAACTGCATGTAAAAAATAAGGTGAGCATTCTATAGGAAGAATGAGAGTTTTGGAAAATTGTCTAGGGAAAACAAGAAGTTCTGGAGGATCCATCCAGAACTTAGTTCTTTGTGAATCATAGCTGGGACCTTTCCAGAGCTCCTGCTGTAGTGGGATAACTGAGGACATGGAAAGGAGACGTGACCCATGAGCCCCCCGCCCCCAGCAAACTGGGGGCTGGCGAATAAGCCAGAACTGCAAACAGTCCTGATTTCTTTGAGCCCTCCCCGGCAAACCGGAGGCATGCGAATAAGCCAGAGTTGTGAACAGTTCTGAATGCTTCGAGCGCCCCCCCCCGACAAACCGGGGGCCTGCAAAAGAAGCATTGAGTGCTTTGGGCACTGATCCATGAGATGTCCTCAGTATAATCAGAGTGGTGGGAACGCAAGGAGATGTCCTTGTGCTACTTCAGTATAATCAAAATAATGGTGGGAATTTTCTGCTGTTCTTGCGCTCAAGGACGAAGCACGGCAGGTGCTCACGAAAGCCAATTATTGCTTGTATAATTAATAAAAACATAGCTTGCTGTTTTGGCACTTCTAAAATGTTAAAAAGACAAGTCTCAAAGTGTAAACCTAGATAATACTTTAATAAAAGTTACCACAACAAGACAGACGGCGCTGTTTTTAATAAAAGTTATTTTTTTTTTTTTGGAGGCGCTGTTTTGCCTGAGCGAGCAGCAGCCCTCTACTGCTGTGCTTTGGTACAATTCATCTCGTGTGATGAGCTTACTTTCGGCCCTGTCCTAAGAAACTACAACACCTGCTTAACAGGTATCACGAGACAAGGTTGGAGCGTGGGTCTAGAACTCTTACTCTAGACCAATAACATGCCTATATAGGCTCTAGTTCCATCCTAGAGGGAAGGGCTGAGAGTCGGGGTCTATGTCCTAGAGCTGAGATTCAGAAGGAAGTATGGCTCCGTATGTGTCTAGAACACCACGCTCTAGAACTGGGTGTCTCTGGGGTAAGAAAGTTAAACCTGTGGTGATCTGAGACTGGCCCAATTCAGGCCAAGACCAACAGCTGGACAGGGCCCAAATCCAGCCTCTCTCTAGTTGGAAAACAGGGGTCCATCTGGGTGAAGGACAGAAGGCTGATGGATCCAGAACAGAGCCTGGCAGCATGCCTGTGTTCCAGCACAGACCCTGGGTGCAGAAATGGCCCTGGCTGGGGTGCCTGGTGTTCCAGAACCTGTCTGCAACAAGGCAAAAGGTGGAGTAGCGAAAGAAGGAAACTAATCCTGAGCTGCAGTGGACCTATAAGTCTACGGCTTGGTGGCCATGAAAAGGGCAAAGGGCTCCAGGAACTGGCTGAGCCCGGGGTGGGGAAGATTTATGCCCTGGTTTTGTCAGTTTTGGAACCCGCCGCGCCATCTCGGGAAAAGGCTTTGGAGGGTGTGAGTGTGGAAGGAAAGAAGTGATCAGCCAGGACCATTTTCAGACATCCCCCTCTCTGACCCCTTTCCCGGGCCCAAGGATCTAAGGGTCTCAGCAGCCCCGGAAGTCATGGCCGGCCCCTAGGCTCCCTCAGGGTAGAGCACCTGGTGGGACGTGGCTGCTCAGGGCATGAGTGTGGCAGCAGGGGTGAGAGCAGGGCCAGAAGCAGGGCTGGGAGACAGGCTGCGGTGGTGGCGAGTGCAGGGAGCCTCCAGTCCGGGGACTACATGGCAGGGGCCAGGGGGACTGGAAGGGGAGGTCTCAGGGACACTGTGGAGAGAAGGCCCCTCAACCTGTCCTGTCTTGTCGATCCGGGGACGGCTGGCGCTGGCTCCGGTTCCAGGCTCCTCCCTCCCTGTACCCCACAAGCGGAGCTTCCCCCCACGCCCGGCTAGACGTCCCGGACCCCAGGAAGGAGTGAGGGTGTCTCCGCAGAGCGCCCTGGTCTGGCGAAGTGAGCACTGGGCCTGGCGGCTGGACCAAGCGGAGCAGCGGCAGCGGTTGGGAAGCTGAGGCGGCGGCGGCGGCGGCGACAGCGGCTTCCCCCTCCTCCGAGAGCCGGTCCGGGGTCGGGGCAGGGGGCGGAGACGCCGGGAAAGAGCGGGAGGTGAAGCTGGGCGGGCGGAACCCCGGGGTTCCTTGGAGGCAGGGAGCGGCGACGGTCTTAGAGACAGGCGGAGCCGAGGCAAGGCCGCATGTCTCGCATGTCTCGGGGTTCAGAGGAGGAGGGACAAGGAGGCGACTCCACTGAATGGAACTCTGGATGGGGGGAGAGTTTGGGCTTAGATAGATGGAATGGCGGATGCCCCGAGAATGGAGAAAGGGACCCTACTGCCTGGGATGGAGGGCAGAACTGGATGAGGAAGGTGGCGGGAATAACTGAAGAGGTAGCGGTGGTGGTGAGGTCTAGCCTGGGGTGAAATCCGGCCTCCTTAATGTCTCTGATTTTGTGTGAGACAAATTGGTCAGTCCCTGGTCTCCATACCTTTCTCCTTTACACGTTTTTTCAGCAAATATATTACCCCCATCCCGATTGACTCCTAAGAGAAAAGAGCATAAGAACTGGCGGGAGATGGATGCCAGAGGCTGCACCGGAGTGGGAGGGGTGCTGGCCACAGATTTGGAAAGTGGAGAGGCCAGAATGGAACGACCTGTGCCAGGGATGGGGCGGGAGGAGGGTGGGAGGAAGCGGAGGAACCGGCGAGGAGGCCTTCTAGAACGGGCTCTTCGGGCCCAAAGCGCTCAGCCTGTCTCCCAGGTGAGGGGAGAGCAGTGCCCTCCACATCCCGCTGGCCAACAGAAGCACATTCCAGGTTAGTAGGAACAGCGTCTTTAATGGGCCCCGCCTCCCACGCCGGCTAAGACGCCCCCCTTGCGTGCAGCCTTGGCCTCTTCCACAGCGGCGCGCAGGGCGCGGGCAGGGCCAGCGCCCCGAGCAGCGAAGCGGCACCGTCCTCCCCCACGGAGCTTTTGGCCACTCAGAAAATAGTGGGGCAGCGTCCCGGCCTCGAGCACCCGGCCCAGCTCATCCAGTAGCCCGAGGCAGCTGGCTCCCGCATTCTCGGCTCGCGCCAGATAGGGCGCGGGCAGCCGCTCACACGCCCAGTAGAGCAACGTCCGCAGGAGGTAGGGCGCCGCGACCCTAGTCCTGGCCACCAGAGGGCGCAGCAGCGCCTGGGCCGCCGCGTGCGCTTGCAGCAGGGGAACGGGTATGCGCGTCTTGAGCGCCAGCTCTTGGCGGGCGAAGTAGAGCTGCCAGCCGGAGGCGTCCGGCCGCTCTGTGCCGCCGCCGCCGCCAGGCACCAGGGAGAAGGAAGACGACTCCGAGGC